GAGCGTGTGCATGTGATGGATGATGGACCGAACGAGCCTTTGATAGAGGAACGAGACAGTAATGAGCAAACTCAATTAGCCCGGCTGTGTGCGCCTGTGTGGGGCGAAGCCTCTGGCCCGTCGCTTACAGCGCACGGAGGCTCATAAATCCTGATTATTTTAGCTAACGAGAACTCGCTCCCATCTCAATAAATCACAAACAGGTAGGAGAGCACGCAATGACCATCAAACACAGCTCGCATTTAAACTGTCCGAGCAGCACACAGACACACATGCAGCCGGCTGGTTGTTCACCTAAAGGGCTTCATACAGGCTCACATCTGAGAAAACAGGCCGCCGGCTCAGTCTAGACGCTGACAGACGGGACACACACACACTGCACACCCCAATTAGCTGACCTTAGCTTCAGACACACACTCTTTTCGTCTCACATGCGTCTCTTCTGTCACTTCGTCTCCCAAAAGTGGCTCCTTACCTACTAAGTATATCACTAGTGCTCGGTTGGCAGGTCTGGGCTTTGACCAGCTTTGACAGTTTGTACGACACTGTAGATTGTTTTTTTTTATTTTATTTGTGCAATTTATAAAAAGCTTTAAGGGATTATTTTGACATCTGGTGGTATATTTGATATCTTGCCAGGAGGTAGCCACAGCCAGCAGCCAGTTAGCTTAGCTTAGCACAAAGGCGGTAAATGGGGAACCCTTAAAAATCCATTAAAGTGTAGTCTTGTATGGCCAGACCATCTCCACAGCGCTGAGTCAGAATGGTCTGACTGAACTTCATCATCAAGCTGCTATAGGGGCAAAAGGGTATTTGTGTTTTTTCAAACCCACTACAACATGTTTAGGGAGCGCTAAGCTCTTAATGCAGCAGTGAAGGTGGAATGGTTTTGGTGGAACGTTTGCGTGCTGGGAGGCAAAAACATTCAATAAAATGGATAATTCACCAAATGCATCCTCATCACATGATCCAGATCTTCTTCAGTACCCTGTCGGCCGCTGCTCAGAGGCTGTTGTCATGTTTTCTGTTGTGAAAGTGATTTTATTTTAAAAATGGAAACACAAAGGTATCGGACGGGGAAGAGAAAGCTGCATGAAATTCACATCGACATCCACCAGTGCAGAATAATTATTAATATGAACGACTGGATGTAATCGTATGCAACAGGCGCAGATCTGGGAAAATGCTTTAAGTTAAACTCAGAATGTACAATTTGCTGCCTTCAACAACAACAACAAAGTAGAAGAATTTTATTTTGACAAATTAAGACAATTTTATTGACAGATGCAAAGTGTTTCTTCCTTGTTGTGGAGTTTCGTCCATCCCCACAATGTTTTCACCTTTTTTCTTTGTTTTTTTTTTAACCCGTTAGCATGCCATATCTTGTTTAACTCGTACACAAACTGAGGATAAAACTTCCTGAACTGTGGTTTCAAAAACTGTTTGACAACCTTTATGTCACTTCATGTCCCTAAAATGTTTTCTATGTGCTAAGAATATCACTTTTCCAAGCTCAGCAGGTTTAGGGTAAATTTAACGAGTTAAAAAACTTAAAATATCTTCTTGACATGAATTATTTCGGCATTTGGGGAAATATATTGACTTTCTTACCATGAGATATACTGAGAAAGTCAATTCCAGTCTCAGTCACGTCTTTACAGGAAGTTTGAAGCTGCAGCCAGCAGCTGCTTAGCTTAGCTTAGCTTAACTTAACATAGCATAGCACACAGACCGGCTCTGTCAAAGGCAACAAAATCCACTTAACAGCACTTTCAAAAAGTTCAAGTTAAAAAATTTGCACAATATTCTTTTTTTTAATTTCGTCCATTAAATATTTAAAGTAATAGTTTATTATATCAGGAAAAACACCTGTTTACTTTCTTTCAAAGACGTTTACTGAAAACCAGCAGCTAGTTAGCTTAGCACAATACATGGAAAACAAAAGCTGAAGCATAAACATGACTAAGCGGTTTTCTGGGGATAGAACTAGTCATGGTAACAGGTAGTAACTGTGTTAACTAGTGAGGTTTAGAGGTGCTGGTTGGTGGATCTTCACTCGTTTAAAC